TTTCCATTTCCTTTCGTTACTTGGCACAAGGTGCCAACTGGACAGCAGTCTCCATGCTGGTATGTGATGCTAGTGTCTAGGTAAAGTTTTCAAAGTATCAGTTTAACTGATTTTTATAGCTAAACCTGCTAATGATTCCTTAGAGTCTTAAATGTTATGTATTTCTTCTGCACCCCATTTGACTATGAGCTCTTAAAAAGTCCGATGCTGGCCGGGTGCGGTGACACCTGTAATCCTAGCATTTTTGGAGCCTGGGGCAGGAGGATTGCTTGAGGCCAGGAGTTTGAGACCAGCCTGAGCAAGAGTGAGACCCTTTCTCTACTAAAAATAGAAAATTAGCCAGGCATCATGGTACACATCTGTGGTTCTAGCTATGTGGGAGGCTGAGCCAGGACGATCACTTGAGGCCAGGAGTTTGAGGTTGCAGTGGGCTATGATGATGTCACTGCACTCTAGCCAGTGTGACGGAGAGAGACCCTATCTCAAAAAAAAAGAAGCAAAAAAAAAAAAGACAGGTGCTAATTCTTCCTCTACACCCTAAATACATAGCTATTTATTCCGTAAATATGAGTGCCTGCTATGTGTCAGTCACTATTCTAGGCGCTGGAGATACAGTTGTAATCAAACAGACCAAGTCTTTGTCCTCAGGGATTTTTATTATAGTGGGAAAGATAGATAATAAACAAATAAATGTGACTGTTGAAAAAGCAGGAACGACAGGAACGCCTGGGTGAACCACTCACACAGCATGCTGTACTTCCTTCCCAGTGCCTCCTACAGAAGCATTTGCACATGTATTGGGGCCAATAATTGATTAATGTCTATTCCACCCACAGAGCTGTGCGATCCGTGAGCCTGGGACACTGGTCTACCCTCCGCATCTAGCACAGAGCTGCATAGGGCAGACACTCCGTAAATATTTACAGAATAAAAAAATTGAATGGTAATTGCAATATCTGCTGTCTGCTAAGAGCCAGTTATTTTCAAGGCCCCATGCGAAGGGTTTGAGTACACTATCTCATTGAATCCTCTGTGTTCTAGCAGCGGGCAACTGTGGCTCAGAGAGGCTAAGTGACTGGCCTGGTGTCACATGGGGAGCAATGAGCAGCCAAGCTGGCATCAGAAGCCACACGCTTTCCTCGGGGCTAGACTGTGGCCAGAGACAAGTGCTTTTATATGCCCCATATATTCTTTCTCAACCATGAGGAGCAACAACTACGGGCTACCGTTCCAGGGAGCTGGACAGTTCATCCCTCTCTGTGATCAGCCCCGGCCAGCACGGGCCGCCTTCCCCAGCAGATGGAAGATGTGGGCTTAAGGTAATTACAGACCGTGTTGTCCTTTTCATTTATGTCTTCACAATCCAGCTTGACATTGTGTCATAAAAGTTTATGTACTGTGTTCTCTCTGCTCCTTACTAATATTCTCCGGCATTCTCCCTGGCCATCCGGAATCAATACCATTGCTCCTCTCTCAATAAAGAAGGGAGCTATGAACAAGGCCCAAATGTGCACAGTGACTATTTGCAGCAATTAGACGTCACACTGAAAAATGGCCATGCCGAAGGAGAGTGGGCGAGATCTAAGGACCAGCATATCACTAATGCCCCTCGCCAGGGACACTGGAAATTGGACTGCTTAAAAAATATCCTCTCTCCTCTCCCCTCTTCTCTTTCTGGCCCTCTCTGTCTCTTTCTTCCTCACAAGAGATAAGGCGAGAGAAGAGCATTCAAATTAGAGACGGCAGCAATCGATTTTTACTTGCAGTTGGTGGATTGTAATCAATGTTAATTAACCAGATTCTTTTTCAGCAAAGGTTGGGACAGGAGAGTAACTGCACAATATTTTTGAGCAAGATGACGGTTATTAATGGGCTTTGGTACCATCAGAGGCCAGGAGGGAGAAGGAAGGCTGGCGCTGAGAGGCCCAGTGGAAGAGAACATGTGCACACGAAGAGGAGAGACTTGAACACTCTTTAGTGTTTTGGGGAGCTGGAGCAGGGGGGCTCGGCTATTTGCACATTCCTGAACACAGGGCAGAGTTTCTGCCCCGGGAAAGGTGGCTCCGTCAAGGGATGGTCTCATACTGTAAGTCAGGTGATCCCAGAGGGTGCCAGTGCTAATCCCTCTGCAACGCCACTCACACCTGGACACCGTGGCACAGTGGGAAGAGCGACGAGGTTAGCAACAGAAGGCTGGGTTTGTGCTGCAGGTGGTGCTATGGAACTCGGTGCAGGTCACAGATATCTCGGAGTCCCAATTCCCTCACCGACAATGGACATGATGACAACTGGACCTCATGAGAGTTGACGTAAGACCCAAGTAAGATTCTCCGTGTAGGTGCACGGTAACACGTGGCTACTGTGATTAAGTGTAGCAATGACAAAGCCCTGGGGCCTCTGACCACAGCCAGCCAGCACACCACGTGGGCTCTGAGGCTCTGCCCCCTAATGATGCACAAGGTTGTCCTGACAGTTATGCACTCCAATCGTATTTGCAAAGATCACTCTCTAAGTATCAGTGTAGCATTGAGGAGAGCCCCCCAAATGTGCCTTTGTTACTTTTTTTAATATCCCAGAAGAAGCAAAGAAAAGAATAGTTGGTAACATGATACAGCTGCCAAAACTAAATCCAAAAGTTGTGTCTGTTTGGAAGCAGTATGAGTCTTACAAATTTTTGGTCAATATAGAAAATAAAAATAGGGAGATCCTACAAGGCACCGCCTTTCAGAGACCTGAAAAAGCTGGTTTCTCGGGTTCCTCCAATGCCATTTTGGTCAAATGGGGCCACTGCCTCCACGGGCGGCTCCCAAAGCCTTCAGTCAAGGGAAGGGCACGGGGGTGGGGGTGGGGGGTGGGAAAGCATGTCGGGGAACACCTGCTGCAGGTGACATTGTCATGCAAAGAAAAGATTCCTAATTACTCCGGTGGCCCCCTTGGCCTCTGGGATGTGGGAGTCCCAACTGCGGTGCTGTACACTAGCTCCTCCTTTCCCGGGCACCTGTAGACATCTTTCCCTTAAGGAAGGTGAGTGAAAAGAGGAGAACAAAAGAAAGAAGAGGAGAGAAGGGACAGGAGGAGGACAGAGGAAGGTGTCAAAGACTCACATATTTGATAAACTGAAGTGAGCACCGGCCACAAGCCAGGCCCTCTGTCCTGTGCTGGGGACCAAGGGGGACACACCACGTCTGCACTGAAGCTGCTCACAGAGCACTGGCGCTGGCTGGAGGGAGGCGAGTTAGCGGGTAACCACCATGCCACATGTGGGGCACAGAGAAGGACGCGGCCCCAGCTGGGGCTCAGGAGCTTGGGAGAAAAGAAGAGTCTCTAAAGAAAGGACATCATCTGAAGAGAAGAACAAAAGAGCAGAAGGGAGAGTGAGCGAGGAAACAGGAGAGGGAGGGAACGTCGGGAGATAGCAGGGAAGGCAAATAATTGCCTCACCCTAGGATTTATATACTAAGCTCATATGCAAATCTGGTCTCATTGATCTGTGACTTCAGTGAATAAAACTGCCTTTTCTGGAGCCATTGATTGGGAGCAAGCTGAGAAGGCCTGGGCAGTCCTGGATGGGCCTGGGGAGTGACTCACAGTGGTGTGGGGAGTTGTACTCAATTAGGGATGAGCAGTTGCCCAAAGTGACCAAAGGTGCATCTTTAAGGGAGGAGTGTCCATCCTTTCTCTTACAAAAGACACTGTAGTTTGACAACCAGAGCCCTGGACACCATCCCAGAGCCCCAGAGCAGGGCCCCCTCTTGGCCTCATGTAAAGGTGGGGGCTGGCTTCAGGAAGAGCAACCCCCTGAAGCTAATTGGGTTCGACCTAGTCCCAAGAGGGTCTGGACCTTGAGTAGGAGCCAGTCTGAACAGCTGGGGGAAGCGAGATGTGGCTTCCACAGGGCACCCCTGTGAGCAAGAGGAAGAGAGAACATGGAAGGCCCCTTCCCAGCTGCCTGCAGCAAACGTTCCCAGAGCTGGGGCAGACTGCAGAGGCTGGGGGCGCGGAGCTACGCAGGGAGATACTGTCCTAACACAACAAAGACTTTTGATTAAGGAACACAATGATGAAAATTCTTTGAATCTCCTCTTAAAATTTTTTCAAGGGAAGCCATTAAAGGTTAGTAAATGTGTTTTCAGATTTTTTCTCTTCACTGTTAGGAAAGGAAGTGTTCCAATGACATCTGTTATTGGATGTAGGGCCTCCACCTCACCCACCCCCCAAGACTGATTGATGCAGGAGTATAAGGTGACACCCATCTCAGCTGGCCTGGGTGCTCCTAGTTTTAGCAGAGAAATTTCCTCAGACCAGTTCAGGTGGTCACAGTAGGCAAGACCATTTGGATCCTCTGAAGGGCAGTATTAGCTCCAGAGTGGCGGCCATTGGTCCTTCTTCACAGTCCAACTTCTCCTGGTTCCTGGCTGTCCTCCCTTCCACAGGGGTAGATCCCAAAGACCCCCTGAGTAGGCACTTTAACCTCTGCCTCAGTCTGCATCCCAGAGACCCTGAATGACATTTCCACTAAGTAATAAGTATGCAAAGAAAGAGAAAGAGGAATGTTATGCATTAAAGTGTGCTCCCCAGGACCTCAGAATGGGGCACTAGGACTCTGTAGGTGTAATCAGTTAAGATGAGGCCATCCTGGAGTCAGGGAACCCCCCATCCAATACAACTGGTGACTTTATTTTTTTTTCAGAAGGGAGAGACACAGAGAAGACAGTAGCCATGTGAAGATGCAGAGCCAGGGGAGAACACAGCCCTGTGAAGACGGGGTAGAGACTGGAGTGAGGTGCCATAAGCCAAGGACTGCCTGGGGCCACCAGAAGCTGGAAGAGGCCAGTGAGGACCCTCTCTGAGAGGCTCTGGGGGAGCACAGCCCTGCCCACACCCTCCTGGGCTGTGAGAGCATAAACTGTCTTTGTAAAGTCACCCAGTTTGTGGCACATTACTATGCTGGGTCACAGAAACAATGAAAGAGCTCTTCTTGTTCAAGCCGGGGGCTGCGGTTCTGGGCCTGGGTTGTCAGCCTGGCCCAGGGCAGGAAAGTTCAGCGTGGGGCGCCTCCCAGCAAGCCCCCGGGGAGTGCCTGGGGCCGGGAGAAAGCCCGGCTGGCAGGGATGCCCGCCCCCTTCCCCTGAAGAGGCTCTGGGTTCATGCCATGTTGAAGGGGTGGGAGAGAAAGAGGGACCAGGGAGACACCAGCAGAACGGACGGACCAGCAAGAGCAAGAAAAGGAGATCATGAGGGAGAGAGAGAGAGAGACTCAGACACATCCGGGAAGGTGAGCCAAGCAAGAACCAGGTGGTGACAGTGGATTTGTGGTTTATGCTGCCTCAGTGGCTCTCACGGCACCTTCGCACTGGGCTGTAGGAGCCCCGGCGGTGCCTGCCCTCAGGTCGCCTGCAGTTCCCCGGGGAGGCAGAAGCCGCTGCACACACGGCTTCTCAAACTCTCCGTGGTGAAGGCCCAGCTGTTGTTTCATTTCCCATCCGCTGGGCTGATACAGTGCTATAGCAATGTCAGGCGCTATAAAAATTGCTAAACACTTACGTTTCCGTGTTCATCTGCTCGCAGACTGACAGGACTGCCTGCCACACCTTGAGTAGCTTGGGTGATCTTCCTTCTGCTCACGCAACAGCTCTGTCTTCTACTTTGCCACGGGCACGTGGTGCTTCTCAGGCTGCTAAAAGACTGCACTGACCAGCTAAGGACAGGCAGTGGATAGCTGTCTCTTGGTAGAGATTACAGAAAAGTTCATTAACAGGGGCTGACTCCTGTAGGAGTTATGTCCTTTTGCCCCTGCCCCTTCCATGGATGCAATGGCTCACACTCCAACAGCCGTCTTGCAGTCATGAGGTAACACTAAGGATATTGGGACAAAAAGCTTCAAGAACCAGTTGACCGCACAGCTACCGTACCAACTCGGGACAGCCTATCATCAAACCTCACGTTACATGAAAGAAATTAAACCTTTATCTTGTTTAAGCCACTTTGATTTGTGGACTATCAAGTGTGTTTTCCATCTGTGACAGGAGTTAACAAGCATTTACCATGTGGGGTGGTAAATACTATTATCACAACAGGTGGATCTAGCCCATTGTGGACTTGGGTCAGGGAAAGCTATCTGGAAGAGGCAGTGACGGCATGAAAACCTGAAGGGGGAGTAAGAGTTCACGTGGGAAAAGGATTAATAAGGAAAAAAAATCCCTAGTTTATGCAAAGAGCAGGAGGTGAAAGAAAGTGGGGCCCAGGAGAACTTGAAGTAGTTCGGAGCATCTGGAAGAAGAGTGAGAAGGGGAATGGAGAAGTGAAGAGATGTGAGTGGTCTGCTTCAGAGCTGTGGCTGCAGGGGTGGACGGTGTTTTGGTTCCACAGGCACCTGACCTTCTGTCTCTCCCCCAGTGGAACTCAGAAGCTTTCAGAAGACAGTGTTCCCATTAGAAATCAGCTGGGGGACATCTGGTTCTGGTCTCATCTCTCAGGGAACCACATTCAGTGTAGCCAAGCCACTCACCTCTGTGGGTTTCCATTTTCAAATCTGCAAAGCAGGCCTCACCATACTGCCCCTTCGATGCCACATCAATGCCCCTGTGACCAGAGGCTGTGATACCCTGCAAACAGGGGACATAAAGACATCGCGTTCAACCCTCTCGTTTTGCTGATAAGAAAGCCGAGGCGCAGAAAGCGGCCCCTGCTAGATGAAGAGCCAGCGGGGCCAGGCACTTAGCTGTCCACTCTCAGGCGTCATTCCTTCCCCTCCCACGGCTGAGTGTCGTGCACGCGAGGTGCGTGGTTCATGTCCAGGCTCCTGCCGAACCGGACACAGCAGAGCGGGAAGACCGAGTTTTTGTTTCGAGAATCCCAGTACTTGAAGGCGCTTTGAATAGCACATAGTTCTGAAACGACCTAAATATTTAGAGTGTGCCTTCCCATCCTTCCTCTCTCCTCCAGAAACAAAAACAAGTCTCTGTAACTTGGTGGTGTAGTGGGTGGAGAAGGGGGGATTGAGGTAGATAAAAGGGACACAACCTAACTCAGCAACCGCGGATGGGAAAGTGCCCCGAAGTATTTAGTCCAGATACAAATCTTGGAGGTAGCTCTTAAGTTTCCACTGAATCACTGAGAAAACACAGCCAGCCCCCTTCGGCGACTTCGCAGCTGCTATCTGAAAAGGTCGTTGTAATCCACACTCTTTATGCCGTAAACCAGCAACTCTGAAAGCCATTATTTGGGGAACGAGGGAGAAAGTTCATGACCAAATTAAATGTTGTATTAGTGGTGACTGTTACCTATTGAAAGTTTACCCATTATTTTTCTCGGTGTTCGTGACACCCCTGGGGCATGGGAATGGTCCCCATTTTATGGAGGAGGAAACTGTGCCTGTACACTCCATTGAGCTCCTTCACATGCAAGCCCTGTCGAATCATCTTTGCACAATGTCCCTTCATGCATCTTAGCTTTGCCAGTGCTTCCTGCACAGTCGGGTCCCTTCCATTCTCTGGTGGCTCCCCTCCGCCCAAGACCTTCCATGCACAGATAGACATGGCGTTGCTGCAAATTCAATGTATCTGACCCTGAACTGACATTCCCTTGCAAACTGCCCCTTCATCCCAACTTTTTTGTTCGGTAGGAATCAGTTACTGAAGATTGAGACCACACAACTTACACATCAACCCAAAAATTCTATCAACAGAGCCCTGAATATACCTTGTTCCTTCCCCTCTTGCTTGTGTTCTTCCCTTCCCCTGGCTCTACCCAAATTCCACCTTTTCTCTGAAATCTTCCTTTATTTCCCCAAGCAGAAGCTGGTTTAACAAGTGTAAAAAACAGTAAATGCACCAGGGTATTCACTGCATCACTGTTTCCAAAGGAGTAAAAAGAGAACTGAAATGTCCTGTCAATGGGAGACAATATGTTACACACACATGATGGAATATTATACAGCCGGTGAAAAGTCAAACCAGGATAAGATGTCTATATATAATGATATGGGTTAGAAAACAGTATCACATGAGCCAATTACCAATTAAGAATGCATGTTTCTATATGCATAAAAATTCTGAAAGGCTACAACAAAATTCTTTTCTTTTTTTTAAAGTCTTGCTCTGCCATCAGGCTAGAGTGCAGTAGACTCATCATAGCTCACTGCAACCTTAAACTCCTGGCTCAAGCCATCCTCCTGCTTCAGTCTCCAGAGTAGCTGGGACTATAAGTGAGTGCTACCACACCTGGCTAACTTTTCAATTTTTTGCTCAGGCTGATCTTGAACTTCTGAGCTCAAGCAATCCTCCCACCTCGGCCACCCAGAGTGCTATAAACAAGTGTGAGCCACCATGCCTGGCCTACAACAAAATTCTTAATAGTGTCTATCCCTGGCATTAGAGATAGGAAGGTGGAAATTTTGCTTTATAATACATTTCTACTTTATATAAAGTAGAAATGACAGTGAATTTCATGACAGTGAATTCCTTTTATAATAAAAAAGAAATACATTTTGAAAAAGTAAGAAGTTTTTCCCCCTTTTTTGAACTGTATATAGCCCACAACATCCCTGGAGGGTCTTACACATCTTCGCATCCCCTGGGGCATGTAGCACACTGCCTCACATGTCAAAAGTTGTCTTAAATCAGAATATTTTCATTGGTGGTAGAGCACTGACTTAGGAGATTAAGTTTTAAAGCCCAGCTTTCTGGCATTCCCTTCTATACATTGTGGAATCTCTTGACACATAAACGTACATGTGATTCACCGCCTCCCGTCACCTCCCCCACCTCCATGCTCAGGTGGAAGCTAAATGAGGCAAAGAATGCATAACCATTCTTCAAAGGGAAAACCTGTTCATCAGATTTGGAGAGAGGAGCTGGACCACTCGGATAAATAAAATAAGGAGGAAAAAATGAGGAAAGATTTGTTGACTCTTACTCAATCCCTATTTTCTCTTGGTTTTTAGGTTTTAAAATGTCTCTGGGAGGTACTGTGTTATAACTAGGGTCAAAATCCATCACCAAGATAGGAGAAACTCTGTTTAAAGTGGCAGTGAAGGAATGGGAATGCATAGGCCCCTATATTTACCTCTCCCCAGTTGGTTATTTGTTGGGAGTTGGTGTAAATAATTTAAAGTGCTGAGCTGTACTCTTGAATATTAGTCATGTGGCCAGGCATGAAACGCAGGCAGCTGGAGCATCTTGTCAGAGGACTTCTTAAGGACAGAACACAGAGTGCCAAGGGCCCTCTCAGCAAACAGTAGTTGTGAGTGCATGGTTCTTTGGAGACCCAGAAGTATATGCTTAAGAAGGAGAGCTTCAAAAATAGAAATGTCTGGTAGACTGAAAAAAAAAAAAGTGGGCTCCCTACATGTACTCATAGATAACTTCAAAGTCATCACGATGGCTGGACAAGGATGTCAGTGTGTGACGTTCCTTCCAAAAATAGCCCCCCACTCCATAAGATACTAAAAACTGTCAGCTTCACCCCTACCACACCAGTCTTTGAGAGGTTTATGTTTAGCAAAATAGCGTTGAGGGATTGTGACCTGTGGGTAGACAACATTTTAACATTCTCATCCATTAATCACAAATCCTTTATTGATGCCATATTCATGTCTGGCTTAGTATAGCGTAAAGTAAAAGGTGATTGGCTGGGCGCGGTGGCTCATGCCTGTAATCCTAGCACTCTGGGAGGCTGAGACGGTAGGATTGCTTGAGCTCAGGAGTTCGAGACCAGCCTGAGCAAGAGCGAGAATCCATCTCTACTAAAAATAAAAAGAAATTAATTGGCCAGCTAAAAATATATAGAAAAAATTAGCTGGGCATGGTGGCAGATGCCTGTAGTCCCAGCTACTCAGGAGGCTGAGGCAGAAGGATTGCTTGAGTCCAGGAGTTTGAGATTGCTGTGAGCTAGGCTGATGCCACAGCACTCTAGCCCGGGCAACAAAGCCAGATTCTGTCTCAAAAAAAAAAAAAGAGATAAAAGGAAAAGGTGAGAGGTGGCACATGCCTGTAGCCCTAGCTATTCAGGAGCCTGAGGCAGGAGGATCATCACTTGAGCCCAGGAATTCGAGGCTACAGTGAGCATTATATGGCCACTGCACCTCAGCCTGGGTGACAGAGTGAGACCCTATCTCGAAAGAAAGAAAGAAAGAAAGAAAGAAAGAAAGAAAGAAAGAAAGAAAGAGAGAGAGAGAGAGAGAGAGAGAGAGAGAGAGAGAGAGAAAGAGAGAAAGAGAGAAAGAGAGAAAGAGAGAAAGAGAGAAAGAGAGAAAGAGAGAAAGAGAGAAAGAGAAGAAAGAAAGAAAGAAAGAAAGAAAGAAAGAAAGAAAGAAAGAAAGAAAGAAAGAAAGAAAGAAAGAAAGAAAGAAAGAAAGAAAGAAAGAAAGACTTTCAATCATCAAGGAACTGGGCCCAATGTGCACTAGTGGTCGGCACAAGCGTAAATTGCACAACGCGAACTGAGGTAAGATTCGATGTCGTCTGAGGTTTCAGAGGGTTGGTCCGTCATGCAGTTAGTAGTTGCCCCCTATGAGCCCTGCAAATGCTGAGAGCCTGTGGGACACCAAAGATGAAGGAAATGAGAGTCAGAGGCTGTTCTTCAAGACCTTAGCATCTTGCTGAGGAGTGTAAGACTTCCAATGGAAAACGATGTGAGAACAAAGTACAGAATAAAATACAAAATTATGTGCTACAAAAATAAGTGATAACTGGAATTAAGATACAAGAAAAAAAGGTAGTTGAAGACTGCAATTCTACAAATGTTTATGGAGCACCTTACTGTGTAACAGACATTAGGCAAACACTTGGGAAAGGAGAGTGAAAGGACAATTTTAGACAACAGATTTCCTGCCTCAGAGAGCCCATAGTTTAGCAGGGCAGGTGAAACTATCAACACCAGATGCTGCAAGTCTGACCCAATTGCTGGGCCCTACACAGTCAAGCCAGCAAAATATAGGCATTGAGCTTCAAATCAGTTGGAAGATTTTTGGCAGGAAAAAGAAAGGAAAAGAAGAAGGAGGAGAAGAAGGAAGAAGACAAGAAGGAAAAGAGAAGGGAGAAGGAGGAGAAGAAGGAAGAAAAGAGAAGGGAAAGGGAATCAGTGGAATGGCTTAAGCTATAAGAAATCTGCTGTTCACGTAACTTCGAGTTTGGAAGTAGGATGATCTCGGGCTGAGGTTCCCTCCATCTCTCTGCCCTGCTGTCCTCATCATTGGTGGCTTTCGAAAGCCAGTTGCACTTGGACAGCAAGGTGACTGCAACAGTTCAAGGCATCACTCCCAGATATGACACCCTGAAGAAAACAAGGCACAGTTGCTTTCCAGGTTTCTCTCCCAGAAGCTCCCCTGGCAGACTTTTCCTCACATCTCATTGGCCAAAGTCAATGTTTCATTGAAACCGTGACCACTACAGTCACCTACCATGAGCTGGGCCCTGTGCTAGGTGTCATAAATAAGACAAAGTTCCTGCCCTCAGAAAGCTCATACACTAAGTGGAAAAACTGATGAACTAACGCCCCATTACAGCACTATGTGCTATCAGAGCACTCAAGCGTGGCATTTGGGAGGGGCAGGAGGGATATAGAAGGAGAAAGCTCATGGCCCAGTAAAGCTGGCTGGTGAAGGAGGCAAGGAGGCAGCTGTGGACAGAGAGGAAACAAGTTCTAAGGATGGAAACAGAGCCCATGAGTCTTGGTCAGATCATGTTCTAGACATGGTCACAAGCGGTATATTCCCAGTGCTTGGTGAACTGGCCCCGAGATAGTAACCAGTCAATAAATTCCAGTTCGATGTCTGAACAAATGAATGAATAAATGAGCATGGAGTGAACAAAAGAAGAGTTGGCAGTTTTATAAGTCTGGCGGGAGAGACGGGCCTTTCATGCTGAGCTAAGGAGTTCAGGTTTTGTTTGGAAGACTATGGAAAACCATTGTCTGTTTTCAGCACAGGAGTGGCATGAGCTGATTTAGGTTTTTGAAAAGATCATTCCTGCTGTAGTGTGGTGAAGGAAAGATCAGAGGCAGTGAGATAGGTTAGCAAGAGTCTGCACAAAATAAAGGCAAAAGATTAGAGACTAGTCATTATCATCCAGCCACGAGTCCACCATATAGACAAACCTTGAAACCCAGAACCTTGGGTCTCTCTTTTTGTTCTATCCATTTGGCAGAAAAATCTGGGGATCATCTCCCAGAGACACCCGAGAGGGAATTGTTGCCTTCATTTCCTGACCTCCCTGGAACTGTAGTTTGCAAGAAGCAGTACTTCTCCTTTGCTTTGTAACTGCTTGGGTGGAGCTTCAATAATATTTCTACATGGCCAGTAGTATCCTCTTAGAAGAGAACCCCTTTGCTATTAATAGTTAAAACAGACAGACATAAAAACCTACTAGCTGCCTATCTTCTGGGGCAAGGTACAACATACACGAGGACTTTTACATTGTTAGAATCTATTCCATGTGCCTATAGTGACGAGCATGGGATCGGCCCGGAGATTTTCTGCCTCCATGAAGGACTCGCACCGGGTCAGCCCTTCCTGCCTGCTTCCTGCTAGCCCAACTCGGCTTCTGCTACAGCCAGCTGACTTGGGGATGTCTATTGCTCTGGGCTGTCATTTCCTCCTCTATTAAAAAAAAATGGGCGAGAGGATCAAAACCTACCTCTGCCTCCGGGAGTCGTGGAGGGTGCAGAACATCCTGTCTGCTAGGTGCTCTGAGCTCTTCAAAAGAGCAAAGGAGAAGACGCATTACTCATGCGAGACAGTGTGTTCAGCTCTCCTCACCGGGGAGTCCTTCACTAGAGAGCGGGGAAGATGGAGCGTGGTCCCCCCACGCTCTCTCCCCAAGTCTGGCCTTGCGGAGGCTCCAGGGGAGAATAAATCACCTGTAGCACAGGCCTGAGGGAAGCAGAGCAGAGGTGCAGGGGTGCAGGTGTGCAGTAGGCAGTCCTGGCGGGGGTGCCGGGCGCTCAGCCAGCTGTGGTCTGGGACAGGCTCGGAGGCTGTCTGCGCCCTCGGCCCAGCTCCTCTCCGGGGAGAGAGACTCCCATGGCCTCCCCTCCCACGTCACATGAGCCCCGTCTCCAGCCCTGGGTTGGAACCTGAGGCCCATTAATAATGCATCATTGGGACTTGAATTCAATTCAGCCAGCATGCATTCATCGGGGTAATAATCAGGGTTTACATCCATCCTGCATGTTGGCCTGTTTTCCCTTTTTGCTACAGTCACCACCTGAATAGGATTAGAAGCAGCAAAATATTGCAATCCACTGGAGATCGAATTTCCCTTTCCTCCACTTTGCCTTCACTTGCTGCCGAGAAACAGAGAATCAGAAGCAGGATATGGCAGCTGCCCGCAGAGAGCCCACTGGGGGTGCAGGGGAGCTCAGCAGGCCCCGTGCCCCTGCTCAGCCCTGGCTTCCCTGGCCGGGCACCGTGGCGCTCCCTCTGCCCATTCACCTTGGCACTGACCTCCATGACACACAGAGCCAAAGGGGGCTGTCATCTGCAGGGGCCTGTGCCGGGCAGGTGGCAGGGAGGGGGGCAAAATAGTCCACATTTTACCTTGAGGCAAAGACCTCTGGGAGGAATGTGTCCTTGGAGAGAAGCTGTGTTGTGTCTTGTGTTTTTACGGGGGTGAGCAGAAGTCCGACAGTCCTCGTCTGCATCTGTAAGGGGACAACAGTGGGTTCCCAGTGCCGTGACAAGCAGCTCACTGTCAGTCTCCCTCCCCGCCCCTCCCTCTCTCAAACACATGCACACCCTGCCCCCTGCCTTCCCGATTAGGGAGAGGAATTTGATCATCTGTTTTTGTCGGCCCCCCATAATCGTTTGGGGGCATTTCCCACTTTGCTTCTCTGGGACTGAGAAGATCTGCTCAGTGAGGGAGCCTCGATGGGACATTCGATATCATACATTTGCTGCTTTAAAAATATCAGTGCCCCAGCAAGAGAAGGTCATGTACTTCTCCCTGGCGTGTGTCCCCAGACCTGGTGTTTTCTTTGTCTTGAAGAATAGTTTAGGTTTAATGGGTGTTGCACACAAAGAATGACAGGAATTTGGTGATCCATAAACACACACACACACACACACACACACACAAGAGAAGAGTAATCAAACAAAAACAGGCCACCCTCGGTGCTTGTGCAGGGCCCAGGCACTCAGAGCAGTCCTCATTCTTTCCTCAGCAAAAGCCATCGGTGGCACCAGGGGACTTCTGGATACCCTAGTGGGAGGTATTTGGTGTCACAGAATCTATTCTCTACTGCCAACGTCCTCATCTTCTCTCCATGGGCCACAAGAGCTATTCCATTTCGCCTCTGCCTCGGGCCTCCTTCTACCTCTAACCAATCCCATCACTCTGTCCTGCAAACTCTGGGAAGTGATTTTAATACAGTCTTTTCCTGGGTAACCCCTGCTAAGGTAGGGTCTCATTCCAGGTGTTTTCTCCTAAGATGTGTTGGCTGATTCCTGCACCTCAGTAAGTCACTTTAGATCCAAGAAAATGAGGGAATAATTCTCCTCTAAATGGAAGAGTGGGGTGTTCCTATTGCTCACCGTTTTCGTCCTGTTCTGTGGGTGCCAGCTCTGGGCGGGTGTCTGGGGTGGGAGCACGTTGTCCATGAACTTGAGAAGGGTGGAACATTGATCCATAGTGGCCCCGGGCATCCCAGCCTGGCCTTAGTCCACCTGACCTAGCCACACTTCCACCAGGAACCTTCTTTTCTCTTTTTAAAAATCAGAGCTGCCAGCTTTCCCCCGCAATCCTTGCAGCATGCAGCGTACCGAGCATATCATAGGCACCGTATAAAGCAAAACCCGCTTTCTCCTTCCAGCCCGTGCTCCTTAAAAGAAGGGCCTGGTCTTGTTCACCTCCGTGTTCCCAGCACTTGGCATTCAGGAACACGACAATAGTAGAAGCCACTGTTTAATGAGAACCTTACCACTCACCGAGCACTTTGTAAATATCATCTCTTACCGTTAAATAGGCTGAGTTGAATCTAACGGACCCACATAACAGGAATGGCACTTTTAAGGGGCCGTGGGGACAACCCAGACGTGGAATCAGAGCGGCCTCCATACAAACGCTGGCTTTGTCACATATTAGCCATTTGACATTTGAAACTCTGGGCCTGAGTTTTCTCATCTTTAAATTGGGGAAAACAATACCTGCCCTGCCTGCCCCATAGAATTGTCGGAAGGGAAACGTGAAGAAGTACTTGTCAGACATTTCTTTGTCAGTTCTAAAGTTCCCTCTAAATCCAGTGGTATCAATAGCCACATCACACAGTGGGGGCTGTCACCGTTTATAAAAAGGTACGATCTAAAGAAAGGTCACATTTCCCAGAATATCTTCCCCGAGGATCTGCCATAGATGGTTCCCCCTCTCCGGCTCATAATTCCCATGCCCATAGCTTGGACAGCAAAAGAGTTTGTGATGTCACCGTGTTAATTATTATTGTGTAACAAATTATCCCAAAACGTAGTGGCTGAAAACAGCAACAAACATGCGTCATCTCACATAGTTTGTATGGGTCAGGAATTTGGAAGAGCTTGGCAGGGCCTCTCATGAGGTCGCAGTTAGGATTTTGGTGAGGGCCGTGGCTATCCAGAGGCCTCATTGGCACTGGAAGATTCACATCCAAGATGCTTCACTCACAGGTGCTGGTTGTTGGAAGTTCTTCATGGACTGCTTGAGTGTCCTCGTGACGTGGAGCCTGGCTTCCCCCAGAGTGAGCAGCCCAAGAGAAAGAGCGTGGAGGAAGCCACAGTGCGTTTTATGACCTCGGCTTGAGGTCACATGCTATTACTTCCACCATATTTTATTTTTCAGAGAGTAGTCAATAATTCTGGCCCACACTCAAGGGGAGAAGAATTAGGCTCCACTTTTTGAGGGAAGAATGGTCAGAGAATTTGTGGTTAAACCATCATGGTCACCAGGAAAAATGTATCTGTTATCTTGGAGGAAGACTTCTAGGCCTCGCCTATTAGTGCTTCGCTGGCTCCGGCTGGAGGAGGCGTTGAGATGGGAAGAAGATTCAAGGCCAGGAGAAGTCACAAGGAAGGCATAGAGATGGAGGTCTCTGGGCTGCCAGGTGACAAAGTGTTAAGGGAGAGGCATTCATGACGGTGAGGCATTTCCTGGGAGAGAAGTTGCCCTGGTATTGCCTAGAGGGTGAACAAAGGCTTTTGTCCCAGAGCCATCAGTCTTTCTTCCTCTTGTTGAATTTCTTAGTCTTTATGGAGCCAGAAAATTCTCCCTATTGGCTAGGGAGCTTGTAAAATCACTCCTGGAAGGTCTGGCTGGTTTGGGGGAAGGAGGAGAAATCTCCCTCTTCAAAAGACATTTATCGTCCTGGTATGGATCAGCCCTACTTTTCCTGGGCTTTGGCCCTGACAAGGGCTGAGCGAGGAACTAGTGCAGGGGATCATAAACTCAAGGGGCAATAGGGGATGGTCAAATGGAAGACAGCAGATGTAAGAAACAACTAGGAGTGTTAAGCACGTGACAGGTGTGTCAGTCAGCCCTTCTCAGTTGTGACCATGTAGGTCTTTGGACCCTGTTTGGTCAGACATTCTGATTAAATCCAAAAATCATATTTTTATGTGAATTTTCCTGATTTTTGAGTATTACCTACTATAGCTTATATGGCAGACAGGTTCACTCAACCCTATCCCAACTCCTCTGTAGCAGGCTTTGCTGCACGGTGGGTACCGGGAAGTTAAGGCTCCTTTGTCAGACTTCCTCACACCGCCCTGGTCCAAACATGAACTTAGCCTCCTCCAAGAGATGCATCACAGGAGACTTGGAGGCTGCACTTCTGCTGTCTCTGTGTTCATAGACATGGAAGCATTTGGTTTTCCTGCCCTTGCAGTAGCAAAAGTATTTTACTAATGTCAAGCCCTTAGTTTTATGGAGAGCTGAAAGAAAAATAAGACAGGCTTAGGGTTTTAAATTCCTGGATCAAGGCATGGTCAGAGATAAGAGGCTTTCTATAACTTCCCGAAAAAGAATATCTTTTCTCTTGGAAAAAAATCTTATCTCTTTTCAGTTGAGGTAGCTGAAAAACCAGAAAAAGAATCTGGTCCTACAAATCACTACATAACAAAATAGCTTTAATTCTCAGCCTTATCATGTCCCTTACTTGAAAGTTAGAGATTGATCTGGAAAGGATAGGACATCAAAAATTTGCATGGTAACATATGGTAAGATTTGGAAGATCATGCAAACTCCATTTCCCAGCCCACACTGAGCTTCCCTTCCCTGCAGAAATGGCCCCTTCTCCGTCTGATGAGATGGGTGCTTCGTTACTGGAAGACTTCATCTGAGATGGTTATCTCTCAAGGGAAAGCAGTGCTCCCTTCTCCACTCCCACTATTCCTTATGTCCTCCAGAACTGACTAGAGTCAGATCTTGGCATGGTCCAGGACTGTGGTCCCCAAGCCCCAGGCCGCAGCCAGCGTCCTATCTGTGGCCTGTTAGGAACTAGGCAGTGCATCACTGCCTGAGCTCCTCCTTCCCCCACCTCCCCAACCCTCTCCATGGAAAAATTGTCTTCCTAAGGGCTGCACAGCAGGAGGTGAGCAGCAGGCCAGCAAATGAAGCTTCATCTGTATTTACAGCTGCTGCTCCTCCCCCTACCCCCACTGTCCGTGGAAAAACTGTCTTCCATGAAACTAGTCCCTGGTGCCAAAAAGGTTGAGGACCACTGGTCAGGAGGACAATTACAAAAATCTAAAAGAGAAGGCTTATACATCAAAATACAATAGGAAGATATTGCTAATTTATATTAGAAAAACCTGCGGGAGGTGGCTATGTGTAGGAGTGGACCCTGAGGATGCTGGATCAAGGAGAGAGGGGCATCATTTTAGATTGCCCTGAATTTTCTATATGAGTATACTTACGAAAGATTCTGGATTCAGTGGGCTATACAGAGCATCTGGGAATGGTTAAAAAATTGTTTAATTAAAAATGGAACAGTGGCCTAAAATGAGTGAAGTGGAGATGCAAGAAATTCCTTAGTATGATGTAGAACAATGACTGGAAAGACTTATGGTGGTGGTAGGGGTGTTGGAGGACATTTATCATGTGATTGGCTTCATTTCATGGTTTAAAAAACAGTGGTGAAGAGAGCAACTGTATCCTTGATGAGTGTTGTAGTATCTGTCCTCAAAAGACTGATGACAGGTTAGATACATTATTGTCCTTGACATGGGTTCCCTGACTTTCCAAGGGGGTGATGGGTCAGAAGTCATGTATTGCCACTTTCACTCCAGAGACAAGTGGCTGTGGTTACTATAACAGGCAGCAGGGCTAGAGTAGTCATTAGAATGGCTTAACCGCAGGAAATCTTCAGAAGTTGGCAATACCTAGTTGATCAGGGAATCTTAGAAGCAAAAAAAAAAAAAAAAAAAAAGTGAGCATCTAACTAAGGTCTGACACAATCGCATAACTCTAAGAGCTGTAGGTTTGGTGAACAGAGGTCTAACTTAGTCATATCATAGTCATAGCCCATCACACAATTCTCACACCTGAATCAGTTCACAAACCCAGAGCCCCTTGGAGTAGGAAGGATGTTCACGCTTGGAGAGAGGAAAAATGGTCATACCATAACAAATATAATACATATACTTTAAATCAATGGATCTCAAATTTCGGTGTGTACCAGAAACCCTTGATGGGCTTGTTAAAATGCATTTTGCTAGGTCTCATGTCCAGAGTTCATGACTAAGTGGGTCTGGGGCGGGTCCTAGGAATTTTCATTTTTGAGAAGTTCTCAGATGATGCTGATGCTGCTGGTCCAGGGATCACACTCAGAGAACTCTAAATTTTCATTCCAGTTCCTCCAAGGAAGCTGCAGCAAGTTACAAATAATTTTGCCCTAGAAAAAGAAAATGATCTGGACGTTTTAGGAATTATTGGACACTGATTCTCTCTGAACTAATGCTAATCATTAGGGTTCCAGAAAAATCACCACAATCCGTAAGTAAAAGTGGGTGTTTGTGGGAGTCCACTGAGAAATGGAATTTGGGCCACTTCACTCTCGTAGTGGGCCCAGTGTGTTCATGAACATATTCCTTTGTTACTTCCGTAGTTCTTAAAGATGTAGTTTGAATAAGGATTCTCAGCCACCACATTGGCTCTTTGGCTTGCAGAGCAAGGGCTTTTATGATAAGATGGGTAAAGTGGAGGCTTCTGCGTCACCCTGCTCCATAGTAAGTAATGAACTCAGGGCAATGCCACATCCTGGGGGGACATGGCACAAGTTATTCCACCAAGAAAGACTTTAAAGTTGCAAAGGTGGTGATCTCTATCACATCTCTAGTTAACTGGTTCATTTGTCCTATGTAAAAGACAGATGGATCTTGCAGAATGGCAGTGTATTATTTTAAGTGTTATCAGGTGATGATTACAATTGACGCTGCTGTTGTAGACATGTCTCTTCACTCTGTGGGTTTGCCATGTGTCTATTGATCTGGCAAATGCATTTGCTCTCTCAGAAGAAGTTTTCTTTTGCCTGGCAGGAATAACAGTATTCACCATTCCTGGTCTTGGGACTACATTAATTCTTCTGTTTTATACTAAAATTTAGAACAGCAAGTCTTTTGACTCTCCTTTTAACTTGCAAAACTTTATGCAATTTAGATGATGTCATGCTAACAGACCAGGTGATCAGGAAGAAGCAAATACTCTAGATGCCCTGTAACACGTATGTATGTCAGAGGGTAGAAGGAGATGCATCCATTGGAAATTCAGGAATCTCAGAGATGTCTCTAGAAGTCCAGATGTCTGGATAATATCAGAATATCTCCTTTAAAGTGGAAAGAAAAATTGCTGCACCATGCACATCTCACTACTAAGAACAAATAATACTTTAGTTGTCCCTCTATGGATTTTGAAGGCAACATATGCCACATAAAAATGTGCTCCTCTGACCCTGTTTCTCAGTAATGCATAGGCTACTGTCTTTGAATGGGGTCCAAAGCAGGAGAATCTTATTCAGGCCACAACACATTTTGCCCATATGCCTTGTAACTAAAAGAATCTAATAGTGTTTGAAGTGTCTTGTCTGTTTAGCATACTATACAGGAAGCCCTTGCCAAGCTCTGCTAGAATAATCACAGTGAAGGACCCTGGAGTTTGAGGGCAAAGTTTAGTACATTCTTTTTCTTTATAATTTAGTAGCAAGTTAGTATATTCTTTTTCTTTGAGCCAACTTTACTGAGACACAATTTACATACAATAAGATACATCAATTTTAACTAGACAGTTGGATGACTTTTCATAAATTTACACGCCTGAAAAACCACAGCAAAATCAAGATAAAGAATATTTGCCTCAGACTAGAATGCTTCCTGGTGCCTCTTTGCACCCATTGCCCTTGAACCTAGCCCCAAGGAACCAGTTATCTTCTTTCTGTAATTACACATTTGATTTATCTTTTCTATGGTTTTATATAAATAGAATCAGGCAGTATATATATTTTTTCATCTGGATTTTTTAATTCAATATAATGTTTTTGAGATTCTTCCATGCTCTTATATGTATTGGTGGTATCAGCAGTTTGTTCCTTTTTATTGATTAGTAGTATTTCATTGTATGGATATACCACAATTTCTTTATCCATTAGCAAACATTTGGGTCGTTTACAGGTGTTGGTTCTCATGAATAAAGCTGCTATGCATATTCCTATAACATCTTTTTGTGGACATATGTTTTCATTTTTGTTGGCTAAATACCTCTAATAGATTTCTGGTTCATATGGTAAATATATATTTCGCTTTATAAGAAAACAATAAATTGTTTTCCAAAGCACGTGTACCATCTTACGTTCCCATAAAAACATATGAGAATGACAGTTGCTGCACATCCTCATCATTCGATATTGCCAAATGTTTTTAATTTTAGCTATTCTAGTGAGTATGTAGTAGTATTTCATTGTGTTTTCAGTTTTCATTTCCTGACATCTATTAATGCTGAGCATCTTATGGGTTTATTAACTACTTTTATATCTTTTGTAAAGCATCTGTTCAAACTTTTTTGCCTTTTTAATTGGGTTATTTTTTCTTGTTACTGAGTTGTAAACATTCTTTATATATTCTAGAAACAAGTCATTTGTCAGATACATGTACTTTGAACATTTTCTCCTGATCTGTGGCTTAGCTTTTCATTTTCTTAACGGAATTTCTCAAAGAGCAGGAGTTTTTAATTTTGATAAAGTTCAATTATCATATTTTATTTAATGACTTGCTATTTGTGTCCTATCTAACATATTTTTACTACCCTTAAGCCTCACATATTTCCTGCTATGCTTTCTTCCAGGAATTTTATACCATTAGCTTTTAGTATTAGTTGTATTACCCAACTCCATTTAAATTTTGCATATGGTATATTGCAAAGGTTGAGGTTCATTTTCTCCCTATGGTTATCCAATTGTTCCAGTTCCACTTATTGAAAAGATAATCCTTTCTCCATTGAATAACCTTGTCAAAAATCAATTGATCATGTGTGTTTGGAAGTATTTCTGAACTCTCATTCTTTTTTAATGACAATAGATAGATAGATGGGGGGGCGGGGGGAGAGAGAGAGAGAGAGAATTCTGGGTTGACAGTATTTTTTTCTTATTATTCCTTACAGCATTTAAAAGATATCATTTTATTGTGTTCTGGTTTGTGCTGATTCTGATGAGAAGTCAGCAGTTAATCTTACCTTTGTTCATTTTTATGTAATGTGCTTCTCCTCCCTCCGGCTTATTTAAGATGCTCTCTTTATCTATGGTTTTTCACCAAATTGATTATGAAGCACCTTACTGTGATTTTCTTTGTATTTATCTTGCTTTGAATTTGTTGACTTTTTGATATATTGATTTATAATTTTCATCAGATTTGGAAACATTTCAACCATTATTTCTTCAAAAAAATTTTTTTTGTTTTGTCCTCTCTTCTCCTTCCTGGGTTGTAAACACACATATCTTAGACCACTTGCTATTATCCCATAGATCACTAAAACTCTGTGCATTTGCTTTAAATCTCTTTTCCTCCCTATGCTTCAATTTGTGTGCCTTTTATTTTGATATTTTCAAATTCATTAATTTTTTATTTTCTGCTATTTTGCTGTCACTCCACCCAGATTTTTTTTTTAGATGTGGTATCTGGTTCTATTTGGCTCATTTCTTTTATTTATCTCTTTGTTATGTTTATGTTTTATTTCAAATTTGTAAGTATATTGAGCATATTTATGATTGCTCTTTTAAAGTCCTATCTACTAATTCGATCCAATCTGGCATTTCTGGGATTTTTTTTCCCTATTAACTGATGTATCTATGAATCACATAGTCCTGCTTCTTTTTATGTTTTGTACTTTTTTTTTTTTTAATTGGATGCTGGACACTGTAAATGTTACATCCTTGAATACCTGGACTTCTTTGTCGTCCTCTAAAAAGTATTTGACTTTGTTCTGGCAGTCAGTTAAATTACTTGTGATCATTTTGATCCCTTTAAGCCTTGTTTTTAAGATTTAAGGGAGGGTCAGTAGTAATCCTTACTCTTGACATAGTTTCACCCTACAACCAAGGCTGGAGCCTCTTGCCCCCAGGTGATCAATGAAGATTATTTTCTCTGGGTTGTCTAAGCTCAAAAGCCACCCTTCCCTGTATCTTCCCTGTGTGGGAATTCTACAGCTTATAGCAACTTTGTGATTTTTTTTTTTTTTTTTTTTTGCTCAGCTTGATGGTATTTTACCCTATGTGCATGTTAATATTCACTCAAAGACTCCAGGAGACCCCATCCACATTTCTGGAGCTCTTTTCTGCACAGTTTCCTCTTCTCTTTATTCCATTCTATAAATTACTCTCACCTTGGTGTCCCTAATTTCTAATTTCTGTCCCTCCACTCACTGAGACCCCTGGTGGCTCTACCTAGGATCCCTGTCCCTGCACGACCACACAGAAATGGCCCCCACGCGTGTGCTGGGGTTATTATGGAGACCACCTTGTTTGCTTCCCTTTATTCAACGATTTGTCTTGCACTGAGTTTTTCTAATTTTGTTTTATTTATTTTTATGTATTTCCACATAGATAAGCTATTTCCTATATTTTGCTAGTTTTCTAGTTGTTTATGGTGGGAGGGTATGTTCAGAAGTAGAAGTAGCCAAGATATTCCCATTAAGAACAACTCTGCACCAGCCATTAACCCTTGGTACTGTCAGAACACCAATCCGTTGGATATCACCTGTCTGTGCTACCCGGGCGACCCATCAAGGAAGTAGGGTATTGTCTGGTGCATCAAAGCACGTGCAGCAGCACCCCACCATCAGACAGAAGTGTTTCTACGAGGGTAAGATCAAGCAGGCCCTGGTTACTGATTGATTTAGTGGTTCACACTCCCAATGTGTCTACTCAGGACACATGCCTCCTCTTTCCTCAACCCACATCTGTATTCTGTAGGAGGTTTCTGTGACTAAAAGTTGACTGAAAAGGAAAAAAAATGCTGTCTATTTAACAGATGGCTCTGAGCAGTACATTCTCACCAGCTTGAAATCAATAGACATGAAGCTTCTGTTAGGAGCTACCCTGAAGGGCAGCGAAGAAGGGAGCTACCAGAGCTTCAAAGAGAGCTCACAGTGACACCATTGCCTTCACCTAGTCCCTATTTTTCCCATCTGCAAAGTGGGAAAATAAAAAAAAAAAAATGGACGAAGATAACTATTCTGATTCTCAGTCTTGCTTGATTAATATGATACTTAATTGGACTCTTTGATCATCTCAAATAATGGTGCATAAACTATTTAAATTTATGCAAACTATTTCTTTTGAAGAAATAGAAGTGGAAACAAAACATACTCGCATCCCATTAATCTTCAAACTTTTCAATAAGGGCATTAAAAAAAAAGGATCCTACTTTCCAAACTAGAAGCCGAACTTGGATTTCAGCCTTAGCTTTGGTAGTAACTTGCTCTGTGACCTTAACTAAGTCACTTCCTTCTCAGGGACTTTATTTTATCTGCAAAAGTATAGGATGAGACATTATAACCCTTGTGTCTCTCCTAGCTCAGGACTCAGTGATGCTGGGTCTTGTGCTGTCACTTGTTCCAGTCCCTACAGGGATTTGTTCCTTGTCTCAGAGTTTGGACGATATCAGTAGCTTCTCCTGGTCATTGGTTACAGTGAAAATGTAAGGCTAAACTGTGGAAATATAACTTGTGAATTTGACATTGTGGTTTAGACAAAATAAGTTTTTGATATCCTCTCACTCTTTATTTATTGAACCTCACACCCCTCTTCTCAGCCACACTCCAAACTTCCCCCAAGTTCTGGCACTCTCGCATGGGATTTGGAATCATCTGGTGAGGGGCTGTCTCCAAAGTCTCTGAGGAGATGAGGAGGCTCAAGGACAGAGTGGTCTCAGCAGTCTGCAAGAAGTTCAAGAAAATGATCACAATACCAAGTATCATCTCAACATTTGTGCTGTTCCAAGCACTATTTGTGCTGATACCAAGTATTCTTGTGCAGGGACAAGGATCCTAGGTAGAACCAGGGGTCTCACTGAGTGGAGGGACAGAAATTAGAAATTAGGGACACCAACCAAGGTGGGAGTAATTTATAAAATGGAATAAAGAGAAGAGGAAACTGTGCAGAAAAAGAGCTCTAGAAATGTGGATGGGGTCTCCTGGAGTCTTTGAGTGAATATCAACACTTTCCTTTTCATTTACACTCAGGACTATCAAATGGCATTGTGTCATTATTGGTGAAACTCACTTTAGCAAAACAAATTATCATAAGATCAATCGACATTGAACATAGACATATACAGTGGTCCCTCAGTCTCTGCGGGGATTTGGTTCCAGGACTGACTCTTCCCACACACAAACCAAAATCTGAGGATGCTCAGGTCCATTATATAAAATGACATAGTATTTGCATATAACCTATACACATCCTCCCGAATGCTTTAAATCATCTGTAGATTCCTTATATGTAATACCTAATACAATGTAAATGCTATGTAAGTTGTTGATATACTGGATTGTTTAATTGTTGTGTTGTTATCTTTTTTTCAGAGCATTTTGATCTGAAGTTGTTTGAAATCACAGATGTGGAATCCATGGATATGAAGGGCTGACTGTGTATCACATGTTTTGTGGAACAGAGATTTATCCATATTGAGCATATTCATATACATAATGCCAAATTCCTAGAAGAAGTCTTATTTGGGTCATCCTAGTGCTTGGAATCCTATTCTATATCTGCTCATTTTAGAATCTGTGAAGAATCTGTCCCCCACCCCATATTCCCAGAACCATATTAACTAGTGGCTTATGAAGCAGCACAGGACACAATATGTTGATTGATACCCATTTTGCAATCAAGGAAATTGAGGACCATATGGGCTAGGTAACTTATTTTTTAAGCACATAGAAAATAAAAATAAAATGTATGAGTCTCTAATATTTCCTTGTCAAATGGAAGTTTGTCAATAAATACTGGTGAGTGAATGCAAGAAGACAATAACTATTTGAGTTACCGGATTATACTGCCTCTCAAACACAAACGTTTGAGAACAGCACAAATGTTGAAACTGGAAAGGGAGACTCCTACAAATGACTAGAAAACTGAACTAACTTGGAGTATCATTCTTGTCCTATGAAATTGACATCAGGTGAGAAGTCTTGTGTTTTGTTACTGTTTTTGAAGTGACTTCCATCGTCTGTAAATTTTCTACCCAATTTCTTCTGGCTTCTGAAGCTGTAGAATATTTTGTGATTGAAGTTTGTACTGCCAATCCTGAGGTTTCCATTCACTTCTCAATAACAATATATTTTTGCATTATTATGCATAGTACACTATATTTTATGTCTTTAATATTAAAATGAAACTTTTATTTTAATATTTATTATATATGAATTATATATAAATGCATGGCATCTGCTACATTACGATGAAATGTATTCTTTTATAATAGTTCCTACTACATGCCAGGCCCTATCCTGCTACTCAGTCTCCAATGATGGTTAAGACATAGGTTTCCTGACATTGAGAATCTTATAGCCATGTGGAAAAAGATGAAAATGTTAAAGAAAAATTTGTCAAGAAAATCATTGTTTATAGAAAATGCTTTCTAAAATATTTAGGAGTAAAGAGGCATCATGTTTTTGTTACTGAAAGCTCAGCACTTGTCCCTGAGGACACATCATATGAATGAGGACAAGTGATTTGAGGAGAAGGAAAGAGAAGTTTATTAATTTGCCAGCAAATGAGGAGGTTGGCTGTACTGAAGTCCTGCCTCTGAGAAAGAATACAGAGCTTTTAAAGGGCAGGTTTTCAGCTCTAGGCTATTGCTGTTCAACTATAGTTGATGGTTCTGATTCAGCCCATCTTCAGCTAAGACAATCTCATGACCACCGCAGCTGGGACAATTCCCTTGAGCCATCTCCTGTGGTACAAAGAACAAAGGACACTCCCCTGCCCCTCCTGACCACTGGCCTAAGGCGGGGATGCAGGTTTCAATTCCCAAAAGGAGTAGGGAAGGTTTTAGAGAGACGGAAAACATTTTTACCCTTTCTCAGGACATTCCCTCATTACATTTTCACAACTTACTTTCACATGGTTCAGAAAAAATAACTTAGACATGTATATATTATATATATATGTGTGTATATAAAAATGTGAATATTTATGAATATATATTAATATGTGTGTGTGGTATGTGTGAGTGTGTTACACAGACATTTTAGAGAGAGAAGAATAAAGCAAATGTAGTAAAATATCAGCATTTGGGGAATCTGGGTAGATGGTACATACCATGCATTTGTCATAGAGGCAATATTGCACTCAAGGGAATGGAAATTGTTCTTGGGGATGAAAAATTCTTACTCTTTTTACATATACAGCTCAACTGTACATGGAGCCCATAAGCTGATATACAGTGTAACTATGCTATTAACATTTCATGCCAGAGGGCAATTAGGAAAAAAATGTGTACAAAGGGCTCTTTGGGGGCAATAATCAGAAAAGGGTTGAGAAACACTAGTATGTAGGAATTCCTTATACCTTTTTTGCAACTTTTCTATAAGTCTGAAATTATTTCAGAACAAAAAGTGCAAACACTGAGCTGTGGCAGCACTGTGAGAGCCATGGGAGGTAGGCCAGGAGACCCTGATTCTGGAGGTGTGGGTGAGGGCGGCTCTGGGGTGGGTGGCACAGAAGTCCTCACCCGGCAGGTGACATCTGGCCCAAGTCTCGCTGGAGAATCATGAGTGTGCTGGGCAGATAAGGACACGGCCTAATCCCAACGAGCCTCAGAGGGAGATTAAATTCCCTATTATTTAGCTTTCTTGTTTAGCATTTTTACCATATTCTAATGAGATACAAATGGATAAGCCATGTCTTTTTTAAAAGATGACTCTCAAATAACAATCCTTTGTTGGGCAGAAGATCTGACTTCTAAACTTTTTAAAGAAATGGGAGTTTGTGGGAAAACAACCTTCCAGGATTCACTGTTTATCCAAACTTTTAGTCCCCAAGGGAATGTTTCTGGATGGATGCTTTATAGGCTTGGGAAAACCCTTGGGCATTTTGGAGAAAGAAGGTGCCGTCTTGTGGTCTTGTGAGCTTTGCCTTCAGCTCTGATGCTGCACTGACTCAGGAGGCCTGAGAGAGGCAGGAGGTGGCTTCACATTCTGGAGCAAAACCCCCTGCATTTCTGCAGGCTGGAAATCTGACACCGAGCTACGGAAATGCACAGTCCGAAAGCACGCTGTGCGAAGGGGCGCAGAAAGGGGCAAATGCTGGAAAAATTGTGCTTTTCTCCCCATGACAGCTGCCTTTTGTTTGGGCAAATAATTTGAGGAGGGAACAAAAAAGCAGTTGTTTGCTTAATGCCAAGCCACAAAAACATGGAGCCTTTCTGGCCCCAACTAGGAGAAAACTCCTTATCCAGGCATTCTTGACGACTTGCCTGCAGACTGAGGTGACACAGAAAGCGCCCACTGTCCCCAGAACCCCTTTCACTGGGCAGGGGCCACCTCACTCATTCATAACCCAATAGCACAGGGGTCCTTAGAGGCCAGAGAGCTTCATGCCAGGTTGGACCCATCCAAGGGGTGGCTGGGCTGGACTGGGGTGGCCTGCAAGCGACTCGTTAATGCACAGAGATGCCCCGCCTGCCAGCCGCTTGTTTTCTTGGCCAGAAGAATCTGTAAAAAGAGTACAAAACCTTGTGTTCAAAAGTTTTGGAGTTTATAACATATACAGACTCATACACACATACACACATGCCCAGAAATACACAAACTGCTTGTGATACATACATTTGGTGCCAACATAAATAGGGCTCTGGCCAAAAACCATGTTGGTTAGCAACCAGCCCGTGTAGCATTTAAAGTTAGAGGCAACAGAAAAACTCAAACAGCGATGTTTTTCCTGAACTTGAAGTCACCACTCGGTATTGCTTTTCCTTTACAGAATGGTTTTCTAATCACTTCAGCCGGGAAAGGTCCTGTCTGCAGAGAGGCCCATGATGGGTTTGCTGTCAGGTGAGTTCATTACTGTAAATCCATCCAAAGCTACTTCCAATAACAATTACGAGACCATCAAGCCATGAAACCTGATGGCCACTTGGAATTCATGACTGGTGCCAGTGAAAGGGAAAAGGGAGGCCCTGGGCTTCTAGAACCACTTGGTCTCCAAAGTTCACATAAGCACTGAGGTCCCAGGGGCAGAGGGAGCAGTGTGTCGGGACAGCCAACTGGCACAGCAGGAGGAGCAGCAGTCTGGGGACAGCGTGTGCTGTGTCCCAGGCCCCAGAGCCCGCTCCTGGCCAGGTGCAGAGGGAGTGCCGGCATCCTAGGTCCCATCAGCTTCCTAGGAAGGACACTCCTCCCGCACATGTCTCGCCTTTGTGTGTTCAATCCCCCTTCTACCTCCTGTGAATAAGGCCGTCCCCAGGAAGAACTGATATACATTATTTATCACTTAGTTGAATATATTTAAATTACTGCTACCATCTCATATGATGTGCTGCATTTGAAATCTGTGTCCTAACAGCCTGGACTTCTGCTAAAAGAATGAGAGTTCTTGGCCAGCAGATGGGAGAAGATTTGGTAGGGATGAGGAGGGCCGGGCTTTGCAAGAGCTGGCCTGGCTTCCTGCATGCTCCCTCCTCTCAGCCTCCAGACCTCGGTCTAGCTCTCTGTTTCCAAGTAAGTCAAATCCCAGCGAGATGGTCTTCTGGTTCCATGCGCCTCTCCTTGGCTCTTACTGGAATTTTACATTTTTCTGTGTCGTTACTTATGTCTGCCTCTCTGTTGAGCTCCACAGATCAAGAGCCATGTCTATATCTGATCACCATTCTCTCTCAAGTGCCTAGCCCAATGCCTGGCATATAGCATATGCTCAGTGAATGTTTGTTGAATGAATAAATCAATGAATGGTATGGTTAAATGAAGGCTTGGAGAGATAGGTGGAGGGAAGGGCGGATGGATGGGTGGATGGATGGATGAATGATTGATGGGTGAAAGAATTTCCATGCAGTGCCACCTGGGCTCTGTTCATCTTCCTGTGACCCTGACTCCCTGAGAACTCTGTTGCTACTGGTGTTACTGGATGCTTGTGAGGAATTACATCAGTATCAGTTGAGAAAGGCCAAAAGTGCAACCAAAGAGAAAGGCTGGGAAGATAAAAGGCAGGGAGGGAACATTAAAGGGGTGAGAGGTATGCAGAAACACAGACCGTGGGCAGCTAGAAGAGACAGGCTGGAGCTCTGGGGGTCTAAAGGGAAAACAGAGGGATGTTGAGACTCGAGGTGAGAAGGGGGAGGCAGCTGCGAGCGGGAATTTTGTAAAAGAATTTGTGTCATCAGGACAACAAAAAAACGATAGGGGTTTTTCCAGTAGGACTGGAGGAGGGAGGTGAAAGTTGAAAGCAGGAGGCTTGTAAGAGGATGAGAGTGGAGTGGAAGAAGTCTAACCAGAAAAATTTAAGTAGCAGAGAAAGAGGGAAACAAGACGAGAGAAAAATGCTGGCCCTGAAAGCTGCAGAAGGGGTACCCGGGGTAGGAGAGCCAAAGCCACAGCCACGCTGCCAAGGGAGGAAACCTTAGGAGACCCGCCCAGCCGGCATCTTGAAGTCTCAGACTTTTTCCACCTTATGAGCTGTAAATTGATCTATTCAGTTAGAGAAACCTGGTTTTTATTGAGTAATTTCCTCTGAACGACCTCCAGTTTTGAAAATGTCCCCCAATTTCTCTGCCTCTCCCCCCCCCCCACTGTCCCTTGGGTTTCCTGCATCAATGCCCATAAATCACCGGGAGGCAAACCCCCTGGCGCTTGTCAAGCCACTTGGCCGGTCCTGTTATGGCCCGTGGTCCCGCTTGGTGCAGAGACCTCGGGTCTGTTTGTTC